AGCTATAGAGCTCCGGACCCCACGTGACTCTCAGTTAGTGGACGCCATTTTGGCATGCAAAAAAGGTAAACAAACACGGATGTAACCATGAACATGAACGGGATCCGCTTGGATTTTACTTCGTCGGAGTTTACTTCACACTTTAAAACAGAAGAAATCGTTTTATATAGTCAGAAATTAAATAGACTAAACATCTCTGACCCTTACCGTGCCCCTGGGATACTTTTTAAAAACGCCAGAAGCTGTCGGAGCGGACTTCTTACCGGCACAACACCGGACCTGACCGGGGAACCCCTTGGGATTTACCCGGAGGAGCTGGCTCCGGCGGCTGGGGAGAGGGAAGTCACGCTACTGCCCCCGCAACCCGACTCCGGATACGCGGATGAAAATGGATGGATGGACGGACAAATAACAGATTTACACGTAAGTAGTCTCGGTGAGACAGATAATAGCAATCCAAAGTGCTTTTTATGTGTGATCTGACAATTGATCAACCATTGCTTAAAAATTAAATACAGCTTAGCCGGTTAATTGCTGTGATCCTAAAACACGTAAACGGCAGCACGCAGAACTCACGAGGCAACGTTTTACGTGATGTTTACTTGCTGCTATGAGTAATAAGACAGAAAAAGCCACACCAAAATAAGTTTAGGAAGCCCACTAAAAATCATAATAAAAGCATTTAAAATAAACACCATACACAGTTGAGGAAACGTTGGTTTAAGTACCTGATATGAAGTGGTCGCTGCACCTCGGGATCCCACAGCTTCATTTCAGCCCGGTCACTAACGCGTTTTATTACAATGATCCAACATTTGCGGTGCTCCGGATCTTGGGGAATCCTGTAGATGGCTCATTCCTTATGTCGTCCGCGTCTGTTTTGCATCCTGGGGCACAACAGGAATCTACCATATTTCCTGTTTGATTGAGTTTTCTGACAATAACAAATAGTCCAGCTGCCAGCTTCTGCATGCCAATATGGCGCTGTTTTGATTTGAACTGTTGCATGCCGGGAGAAGTGACGTCAACTCCCGGAGCTCTATATTATGTCGATATTCAAAAGCAGTGTATCAAAAATATCGATATGGCAATGTATTGTGATTTATTTTCTTGCAATATTACATCGATATTCAACAGCCATGTATCAAATTTTTGGTAGAATTTACATGAAAACATTTGTGTATTTTCTTTTCATTTCATGCAATTCAAACACCGGCCACTAGTTGGCAGCAGTGTGCAATGGGTTTTGTTTCCACCGATGAAATGTAAATCCCTCTATTATAGTTCAGATGCCTCATGCTAAACATGTTAAGTATCATTTTGGACTGTTTATTGAATTTTCCTAAAATAAATTCAGTCAAAAAAATTTGCTAATAACATCTGACTGACTGTAGCGCAATATACATATCGTATCGCCAGAATTTCACGATACACATCCCTAGCATTTAACAAAGAATAATTTAAATGTACCAGATTCCAACAAAATATTCTAGTTCAAACGTTGGCCATTTACCAATAATTTTGTGAAATACTTGTTGTTTGCTATGAATTCAGCCTCCACAAAAAACAGATCAGGTGAGAAAATTTAAGTCAGTATGCACAACATTAGTTCACATCCGGATGAGTAAGAATCTAAAGGAAAATATATCTTTGTTTGTTTTCACTTAAAGGGGACATGTTAAGCAAAACTCACCTTTTGTGCTTTCATGTGGGTCTCTCCTGCTTCTACAAACACTCCAAAAAACCGATGAAAAAGGCGTAAAAAAAACCCTGTCCAATGGTTTTCTGTCAGTGTTTGGTTTTAGTAAATTGGGTGTAAAAAGAGCCATGTCAAAAAGTCCCTGCTTGTGACATCACAAAGATAAAGTTAGAAGAGTTGCTGCAGGAGGAGCAATCTGTCCACTCCACTCTCCTCCTGAATATTGGAGCTTCTCAGCCTATAGCAGCCTGAGTGGGTGATGGTTGAATGTGGCCAGCTCCAGCTTGTTTTCTAAAAGTGACAGAGCCCTGAAATGGCATGTTCTGGAAGGTATTTAAACTGGCAGGAATAAAACAGCTGAAATCATTTTATGTGAGAGGGATTTAGTGCAGATAGGTTCGTAAAATTTATTTTGTATCGACCATAGAAATCCTGTAACTAAAAGAAAAAGTCATAATAAGTCCCCTTTAACAATTTGTTGCTCCAGTTATACTTCTCCTGAGCAGGTTGTTGTTCACCGAGGCTGAGGCTCGTACAAATGTCTTTTCACGATGTTTAACGATGAACATGCTTAATGGTTTTTGCCTTTAGGAAAATGTCAGTAACAAAGATTAACTGGAGTTGACTCATGTTCATGAAGCTTGTTTGCGCTACTACCTAGGGTTGTCACGGTATGAAAATTTAACCTCACGGTTATTGTGACCAAAATTATCGCGGTTTTCGGTATTATCGCGGTATTTTTTAAACGGTGTTGCATATCCATGCTTTCGTTCTTTTTTTAAACACAGAAACAGTTTTGTTTACCTGTTTGTAGCTACAGTTTCGCCGACGGCTGCCGGCTTCTTCAGGCTGACGCTGATGGTGGCGCGTCACTTCCTTCTCCGTTTATCTGCGGGCAGCAGAGGACGTTGTCGCCCTCTACTGCCTGCTCTCCCCTCTCCGACGATGCAGTCCCATGCGTGGTCCAGCGTGTAAACTCCGTCGTCCCTGTTCATGGTCCCACATCCACGTCTCCTTATCTCTATTGCTTCCTTGATCCATCTTTTGTATTTTTGTTGTTCGGTGGTTATGATCCGTGTGCTGTCCCAGTCCATTATATGGTTTTCTCTTAAGCAATGATCTGTTGCGGCTGACTTTTTTATTGTACTTTCTGCTTCTTCTTTTGCTGCTCTTGTGTGTTTACGATTTGCCTCTTTCTCGCACTCCTTTCTGTGTTCTATTGTCCGTGTATTGAGTTGGCGTCCAGTTTCTCCTATGTATGTTTTATTGCATATTTTGCATGGGATTTTGTAGATGACTCCACATTTTTGTCCAGCTGATATTTTGTCTTTTGGGTGTACTAGTCTATTTCTAACTGTTGTGTATGGCTTTGTTGGTGTGTTTATGTTGTGTTTTTTCATTGTTGCTCTTATTTTTTCCGTTATGCCTCTGATGTATGGTAGGGTTATCACTGGTTTTGGTTCTTGTCTTTCTGGGTTTCTGGTTCTTTTTTTTGGGTTGTTCTTTGCTTTCTGTTTTTGTTTGTTGTTTTCCTTTGTTCATTGCCCATGTCGGGTATGCGCAGGTCTTTAAAGCGTATTGTATGTGTTTGTCCTCTTGTTTACGGTCTCTCTCTTCTGTTATTATGTTTGCAACTCAATACACGGACAATAGAACACAGAAAGGAGTGCGAGAAAGAGGCAAATCGTAAACACACAAGAGCAGCAAAAGAAGAAGCAGAAAGTACAATAAAAAAGTCAGCCGTAACAGATCATTGCTTAAGAGAAAACCATATAATGGACTGGGACAGCACACGGATCATAACCACTGAACAACAAAAATACAAAAGATGGATCAAGGAAGCAATAGAGATAAGGAGACGTGGATGTGGGACCATGAACAGGGACGACGGAGTTTACACGCTGGACCACGCATGGGACTGCATCGTCGGAGAGGGGAGAGCGGGCAGTAGAGGGCGACAACGTCCTCTGCTGCCCGCAGATAAACGGAGAAGGAAGTGACGCGCCACCATCAGCGTCAGCCTGAAGAAGCCGGCAGCCGTCGGCGAAACTGTAGCTACAAACAGGTAAACAAAACTGTTTCTGTGTTTAAAAGAAGAACGAAAGCATGGATTTAGAAAGACACAGCAAGAACACACCTAAGGTGTTGCATATGTTCAGAAAGCATTGATAGTCCTGTTCTACACAAACTGAAAAGGTTTAACAGTGTTTATTAAACCTAAAATAACACAAAGCCTTAGCAAAAGTGCAACTTTTCACAAGTAAAGGAACAAATTGCTTATTTTTCTGGAACATGTTACAGTAGTCAGTGCAGGTTTAAATTGTACAAATCCAAACATTCAAAACATAAACAATATGTAAACAAATCAAAGAAACACCACTTGTTTTCTCATATACTTGTTTTCTTCATTATCAAAATGAAAATCTAAAACTCCAGTCCACACTTGACTTGAGCACTGTACAAGTCAACCTTAAAAAATATGTATTTAAAATAAATAGCCACTTTAAACAAATTACTAAAATAACTACTACACTATGTAATCAAATCCAAATGTTCAAGTATAGATGGCATTGAATAAGTAAACAAATCAATGACAAGGAACTAATTGTATATTTCTCTTCATCATCAACAAATAAGATGCTTCATCCAGCAACAGGTTGTCCGTGACACGGTTTAAATGCTGACAGAGGACGCTGCGGCTGCAGTATATAGTGACTCGTTGCATTCTCCGTCAACCAAAAGTCCTCGCGTCATGCATTTAAGCTAAAATGTTAATGTTATCTTACCTTGCACTGGCTGTGGAGACGTGGGTGATGGTCACTCAGATGTGCCATTAGATTCGAAGTGTTGCTGCCTTTTGCAGACACTTGTTTCCTGCACGTTCTGCAAACGGGATAGCAGTCTTCTATTAACTGTCCCTCAGCATTTTTCAGAAATTCAAAATATGCCCATACTTCCGATTTAGTCTTCTTTGAGGGCTGATGGATGTCCTGGGCGCTGCCGTCTCCTTCTTCGGCCATTATTTCAGCTTCAAAGTTTTGGTGCCGTTGCAAACTAAAAAGTGCGTGTGCGCGCCGCGGGAACTTCAGCTGAAGCGACGGTGGCTGGTAAGGGTCACCGCGCTTAAACCGCGGCCACGGTAAACCCACCGAGATAATTTAGTTTTTTTAAAAACTGGATGGTTATTTTTATTGTCAACTTTTTTTACCGGGGTTTACCGCTATACCGGTTACCGTGACAACCCTACTACTACCTAATTTTGTGCGTGTGTATTTGTGTACTTTTAACTGAAAGAACTGACCTGAATGATTGGAAATAAAAGGCCCACTGCAAAGTTAGAAAGCCAGTTTACAGTGCCAGCGATCATGAAGGCAGCAGGTCGGTAGGATTGTTCAAAAAGCTCCCCAGTCAGGACAAATGGAATTCCACCTGGGAAAAAAAAGATAAATGAACCATTAGAGTTCAAAAAAGGGCTGACAGCAGCAAACAGAAACAAATGGCTTCAGTCTGAGAAAAAAAAACCATCTCTTAGATGGTCTCTGACTTTTTCACTGTTAACTTTTGGATTGTTGCCCTGCCTCCTTTCCAGTGGGATCATTTTTTCAACATTTCCAAGATCTTTTTATACTGTTTCATTATCATTTTGATGGTCCTTCAGTAACACAAGTGATATAAATGTGGATTTTGTACATTTGTTCAATAAGAAACACACATAAAAAAAACTTTATTAATTCTTTAAAGTTGAAATAGGTACAAAAAACATAAAAAACAAGAAGAATATAACAATGTGTTTTTCTCTAACATTCCCAAATTATCTCTAATTTCTCCGATGGTAGAATTATCTAAAACTCTGAGGCTGCCCAGAAAATCACAACAAATTCACTTTCACCTAATCACCCAAAAGAACAGAACAAGAGTGGGTTTAAAGGGAAACTGTCAGGGGAGGCATTTCCATTTGTTTAACAAACAGTTTATGCTGCTTGAACACAGCCAGACAGCATTTGTATAAATGAATGACTATTTTGTTTTGTGAATTCTGTAGAAGCTGAATACACTTCTGCTTCTCCGTGTGACAAAACGATCAAATTTCAAGTTTCAAAACACCCCAGGAAATGAACTGTGCATTCAGAACTCTGAATGTGTTTGATAAGCTCTGCATTATGTAAATTATAAGCATGAAAGGAAAAAAAAATAAAAGCATTATTTTGTGGCACACTGAGTATTCATAGAACACAGCTGCTAATGTAAAGAAAGGCATGAGCAAAAATACAAAATGCATAACTTTGTTTACCTTTGGGAACTATAACTGGGTCGGTTGTGAAGGAAATTGTTAGCTGAACAGTTTTTATAAAAACAATGAACTCAAGTTGACCTTTTTGACCACATTTATTTAATGACAAGAAATAGTCACATTTGCCAAGATGTAGCTAAATAGAAAACCTGACCTTGTAGTGTCTCTGCAAACAGTCAACATGGAAGTCTTAACAAAAACTTATCACTTTATTAGGCCCGAGCAGCGAAGCGCTGCGAAGGCCTATTGTATCTGCTCCGTTTATTAGGCCCGAGCAGCGAAAGCGCTGCGAAGGCCTCTTGTTTTTGCTCTGTTTATTAGGCCCGAGCAGCAAAGCGCTGCGAAGGCCTCTTGTTTTTGCTCTGTTTATTATTAGGCCCGAGCAGCGAAAGCGCTGCGAAGGCCTCTTGTTTTTGCTCTGATTATTAGGCCCGAGCAGCGAAAGCGCTGCGAAGGCCTCTTGTTTTTGCTCTGATTATTAGGCCCGAGCAGCGAAAGCGCTGCGAAGGCCTCTTGTTTTTGCTCTGATTATTATTAGGCCCGAGCAGCGAAAGCGCTGCGAAGGCCTCTTGTTTTTGCTCTGTTTATTATTTTTCTTTATTATTATTTTTTGTTATTCTCGTGCCCCTTTGAACGGCTTTTTGGGGACCTTAGCATACCCCAAAACTCACAATATTTTGCAAACTTGTCAGGCCTGGTGAAAAATTTGATATTTTAAAGGTCCCAAAAAAATCGCACAGAAAATGACTGAACAGCGCCCCCTAGAAAGTGAAAAAAAACCCTCTCCATAAAGCTTAGTTTATCGTACAGTTATGAAATTTGGTACACTTGTAGTACTCAATAGTCCGCACAGAAAAGTCTCTTGCAAGCATGGTCAATATCAAACAGGAAGTCGGCCATTTTGGGTTGAAATGGCGATTTTTTGCCGTTTTTGCCGTTTTTAGGGTCCGTTTCTGATTGGATTGCTCGATCATTTTTCGCACGATCGTCTCAAAAATTGTGTAAAATTGCTAAGAAGGGATGGGCGAACAAAATGAGATGAGAATTCTGAGTTTTCGTATATGTTGAAGGGGCGGGGCCAGGCCTCGAAGTTTGACTACTCGCCAAAAATATTTAAATTGCTATAACTTCATAACTGAATGGAATAGAGTTACCAAACTTTCTGTGGTCATTCGTCATCCACCCACAAAGTAAATTGAATGGTCGGATGATGACATCACACAAGCCCCGCCCCCTCAGGACCAAAAAGATCAAGTTTTACTGTGAAAGGTCCCAAATTGCCCCATTTCACTTAATCACCACAAATTTGTAGCTGTTAACTCAAGACAAGTGGGGGTTGCTTGGCGTCACTTTATGGGAGTTTTCGGCAGAGGGCGGGGCTGTGGCGGCGCGGCGAAGTCAGGCGTACCGCCGTGGCCTTACGTTTGCCTCCCATTTCGTCATTTCCAAAGATATCGTCACGAAACTTCTTGTGAGTGATCCTAGTCCGGCCCCCCAAAAGATCTGATGTGAACATCTGGTGGGCGTGGCCTATTTTCTGAAATAGCGCCCCCTAGGACCATTAAAACTGTCAGCCCCAAGCCATGCTTTGACTGAGGATTACGAAATTTGGTACACTAATGTGGTGTCTCAGGACCTACAAAAAAGTCTCTTGGAGCCAAGTGCAAAGTCGCACAGGAAGTCGGCCATTTTGGTCCAAGTGCGCGATTTAGTGGTTTTCACACACGTTGTTTGGAGAGTGATACTCCGTCGCCCTTTTCACCAATCACTTTCAAACTTCTGCTATATAGTCTTAAGACATAGAGGAAAAAATTCAACCGTCGGATTTTAAATAAGTATAAAGGTGTGGGCGTGGCTAAGCCTCAAACTTTGACCTTTCGCCACGCCACTCTTTTTTTCACAGCTCCCTATTGGACTCCTTTTACCCAATCACCTGGAATCTCTGGTAAATAGCAGCTGACAAGTTGAGGTCACTTGGTCTACAGTACTGGCAGGTTTTGAAAAAAGGCGGGGCTTTGGGAGCATGGCGAAATTCGCCATCACGCCATGGCAATACGTTTGCCTCTCATTTCTTCAATTATCGTGACATCGCCACAAAATGTCTGGTGAGTGATCCTAGTCTGACCCCCAATAGAAATGGGCATCTGAGATTTGTGGGCGTGGCCTATATTCTGAAATAGCGCCCCCTAGGACCATTAAAACTGTCAGCCCCAAGACAAGGTTTGACTGAGGATTACGAAAATTGGTACACTCATGTAGGGTCTCTGGCCCTACAAAAAAGTCTCTTGGAGCCAAGCGCAATTTCGCACAGGAGGTCGGCCATTTTGGTCCAAGTACTCGATTTAGTGGTTTTCGCACACGTTGTTTGGACATTGATGGGCTGTTGCCCTTTACACCGATCACCTTCAAACTTATGCTATGTACTTTTAAGTCAAAGGGGAAAAAATTCAACCGTCGGATTTTAAATAAGTATAAAGGTGTGGGCGTGGCTAAGCCTCAAACTTTGACCTTTCGCCATGACATTACTTGACTTAATAACTCCCATGTGCATGATCAGATCTAATTCAAACTTTGTCTGTGTGATCACTGACCACATCTCAAGACAACGACAATGTGGACAGCTGACATCACCTAAGCCCCGCCCCCTGACAACAGGAAGTCTATTGTTTTATGGTGAAATGCCCATATTTGTCCCCTCTAATTTAATGAAAATGACACTCAGGTCATACAGTGTCTTCATGATGTTTTAAAGACCATTCAGATCTGATAGCTTTCCAGAAAGGGAGGGGCTTTGATGCCATGGTGAATGCTGGCGTGACGCCATGACCTTACATTTGACTGTAACTTCCACAAACGGCCTCCGATTTGCCCGAAACTGAATATGGCAATGAACAATCATGCCCTTTAGCCAATGAGGCACAAACGGTTGGTGAATGTTATATAATGTCACCAAAGCTGACCTCAATGGGACTTTTCTGTAGTTGGTCACAGCGCCACCTAGATAACGTTATCCTTCCATAACTTTAAAAAACATGGTCAGAATAGCATTAAAGTTGGTCACTGTCATCACACCACCAGTGTGGTAAAGATAGAGGATTCCCTAGTGGTGAGACATAAAATATAATGGTGGGCTCAAAGGGGATGCTGAGTCAGGGTGAGTTGCGGACAAGGTGGCCGTTAGCAGTTTCTGGTGTTGGGGTGGTCGACGTTTGTGTTCTGCGGACGTGCCCTGGTGCCCCGGGCTGCCGGCCAGGCCGGAGCGGCGCGGAGCTGCGAGGGCCGAACGACGCTGCTTGCAGCTTTAATTATTATTACGCTTTCTTTTTTCTTCCGCGTCTTTGGGTGGCCTTTAGGGGGTCTTAGCATATCCAAAAAGTCACCAAATTCTGGCCCAATATAGAAAGTGCGTGAAATTTACGTATTTCACTGGCGATGTGAAAGTTGATAAAAAAGTGGCTCGACAGCGCCCCCTAAAGAGTGAAAAATACCCCTCTCCATAAAGCTTAGTTTATCGTACAGTTATGAAATTTGGTATACTGGTACTACTCAACAGTCCGCACAAAAAAGCCTCTTGCAACCATGGTCAATATAAAACAGGAAGTCGGCCATTTTGGGTTGAAATGGCGATTTTTAGCCGTTTTGGCCATTTCTAGGGTCTATATTTGGTTGAACAGTTTCGTCATTTTTCGTACCATAGTCTCAAAAATAGTGTGCCATCGAACAGAAGCGATGGACGCTTCAAATGAGAAAATAAAATTGACTTTTCGTAAATACTGAAGGGGCGGGGCCAGGCCTCAAAGTTCGAGCACTCGCCAAAAAAATTCAAATTGCTATAATTTCACAAATGAAAGAATTACAGTTAAAGTAACTTTCTATGGATAATCGTCATCGCCCCCCGAAGACAAATGAATGGTCGCTGGATGATGTCACACAAGCCCCGCCCCCTCAGGACTTAAAACGTCAAGTTTTACTGGGAAATTTTCCAAAATTCGCCCTGTCGAATAATCAGCCCGAATTTGTAGCAGGTAACTGAAGAGAAGTTGGCGTTGCTTGACGTCACTTTATGGGTGTTTTCTGCAGAAGGCGGGGCTGTGGCGACGCGGCGAAGTCAGGCGTACCGCCGTGACCATACATGTGC